CCCCATTCACCTGCAAGCGCCGAAATGCCACTTTTACATATGTGTGTGTTTTTTTATTTTCTGTGTAAGACTGTGCATGTAGGGGAAAGAGTTCTACTCCCAGATTAGAAAATCACTTCTCTGTAAGCTTGTAATAGAATTTCTGATTTTCGTGACAACAACTACTCAGGATGGCTTCCTGCCTAAACTCTGAGCACTGGCGGATGTTTCAGTTCAGTAGTTTGGGCCTCTGCTTGGGATGCCTGCATCCCAAATACAGTGCCTGGAAGTCCAAACCTGCTTCTGCTAGTGATCCAGCACCCCACGGATTCCCCAGGGAGGCAGTGGATAGTAACGGTTCCAGCCTCTCATGCAAGGGGCCCAAATAGAGTTCCTGGTCCCTGACTTCAGCCCAGCTTAGCCATGGCTGGTGTAAGCATACGCAGGGGAGTGACTCAGCCTTTCAAATAAATAAAAATAATTCATAACCTTAGTTAAAAATACTTTTGTGCAAAGCCCCGTACTGTTTTGAAAGAAATTATTTTCATTTCATTTGAGAAACAGAGACTAATGTGGAAAGAGATCTTCCTTCTACTGGTTTCCTGCCCAAATGCCAGCTACAGCCAGGGCTGGATCAGGCTGCATCCAGGAGTCTGGAACTGTCAGGGCCTCCCACGTAGGTGGCAGGGATCTGAGCACTTGAGCCATCACTGCTGGATCCCAAGAGGTGTGGCAGTGGCAAGATGGGTCCACAACATAGCAGTGGGAAGATGGGTTGGAAGCACAGCAGGTGGAAGATGGGTTGGAAGCTTGCAGGTGGAAGATGGGTCCGCAACACAGCAGGTGGAAGATGGGTCTGCAACACAGCGGGTGGAATATGAGTCTGCAACTCAGCAGGTGGAAGATGGGTCTGCAGCACAGCAGTGGGAAGATGGGTCCGCAGCACAGCAGGTGGAAGATGGGTCTGCAACACAGCGGGTGGAATATGAGTCTGCAACTCAGCAGGTGGAAGATGGGTCTGCAGCACAGCAGTGGGAAGATGGGTCCCACAACACAGCAGGTGGAAGATGGGTCCATGGCACTGCAGGAGGAACTTGAACCCAGGGCTTTGACATGGGATGGAGGCAGCCCAAGGTGTGATTTCCCACTGCCCTATAGGTCTGTCTTTGGACATGCTTTTGCCTCTTTGTCTGTTTGAGAATGTTATCAAAAGTACTTTAACATAATGAGCCATACCAACTTTTGCATACTTAACAATCATTTGTGTTTGCGCAGTCTTTTCCCTTTTGGGATCAGGGCCCCAAAGCACACACAGCCCTTGCTTCTTTCTTAACTCCCTGTGCATCTGGAGCAGCAGGTCTCTGCCTGCCTCTCCTGGTGAGTCCCAGCCTCCTCTGCTAGGAATCTAGACGCCCTCCTTAGCTTCCCTCGCCTATCACGTTAGACATTTCAGTACATCTACAACTTTCTTCATTTTTCCCTCCTGGCTCAGAAAATAAAGGCGTTTTAGAAACCATAAAACCCCCAATTCCCTAAGTACTGATTGCATTTCTGTTTGCCCTCTGTGGTACTTTGCATGCTGCTGCATGAACAGCTGATCCTCAAAGAACTGTTGAATGAGTAATCGATCTAACTCTATTCATTCTCTCGTTCGGTAGGTCCACTTTCACTCTTTTGGCTTCTTTCCCTTAAGTCTACATGTGTGATGAAGTCATTTCCCATATGTGATGGAAAGTTTTATGTCTCAACCTGGGTTGGCAAGGTTATAGCTCCCAACTGCTCATGCAACACCACTCTGGTTGTCGCTGTGGAGCTATTCAGCAGATGCGATGAAAACCCACCGCGAGCTGACTCTGTGTAAGGCAGATGATGCTGGGTAACGCGGTGAGCCTGATGCACCGGCTGGAAGGCCGGAAGAACAGAACTTAGAAAAGAGAGGGCATTCCTCACATAGACTGCAATTTCAGCCTTGGCTGGGACCCCAGGCTTCTCCCTGGATTTTGGACATTCCTATCCAATCCCTACAATTGCATAAGCTATTTTTCTCCAATAAATCCCTTCATATGTCCAATTGTTTCTCTTTCACTGCTGGGATCCTGATGGTGACACCATTCTTAAAATTACAGCAAAACCAGAAACACCCTTCTTGACTCTGTATCTGTCATCACACAGATTCTCATTTTCCTTCTCATTTAAAACTTAAAATGTTAGCTCTCATTCCCCAATTCTAATTCCTGCCTTTGCCAGCACCTGAGAGCCACGGTCCCGTGTATTCAGCTGGTCACATGGACATTTTCTTGCAGGCAGTCGCTGAGCAATATCAAATGTGTTACTCATTCCCACTGCCTCCTACCCACACCGCTTCTTCTGAATGTCATTTCTTAAACTCAAGGCAAAAGCCTGGAAGCCATTCTAGACACGTAAGTCTTCAAGCACCAGCCACCCAAGCCAGCCTCCACTCTCCAGCACCAGTGTTTGAAGGGTCAGCCTTTCATTTCAGGCCTCAGCTTTTGTCATAATGCCCATTGCAGCCTCCCCCATCCCCTTCCCCAGTGCCCTTCCTGTGCCCCAAGGTGACTGACGGGGCCCTGGACCGATTCCTCTCTCACCCACAGCAAGGGCAGCTCAACCGGGACTTGTCATCACAAGGACCTTTAGAAAGCCTGGAGTAAAGCCCAATTCAGACCTTGAGGTAAAACATTTTCAAGGTGCGATCAGCACTCTGATTTTCGAAAGCTTCTTGGCAGGTTTTGGCCATCAGGCAGGCTTGGGAAGCACGAGTTTCCAGGGTAAAATTCAAACTCTGCCCCTTACCACCTTAAGCCCTGCCAGCTTCACATGTCAGCACACGAGCTGCTACAGCAACCCGAGCACAGCCAGCCTTCACACCACGCCGCTCACGGCCTCACCATCAGAGAGCCGCCTCCTCCTTTTCCATTTTCCTTTCAAAGATTCATTTAGTTTTGCGGACAAGGTAGATTTACAGAGAGAAGGAGAGACACACAGAGAGAAGATCTTTCATCTGCTGGTTTTACTCCGCAAGCGGCCACATCAGCCTAGCTCAGCTGACCTGAAGCCAGGAGCCAGGAGCTTCTTCTGGGTCTCAACCTATGTGGGTACAGGGGCCCAAGGTCTCAGGCCATTTTCCTCTGCTTTCCCAGGCCACAAAGCAAGCGGCTGGATGGAAAGTGGAGCAGCTGGGACACGACCTGGAGCCCATATGGGATGTTGGTGCTTGGAGATGGAGGATTAGCCAGTTGAGCCATTGTGTTGGGCCCACAAGCAGGAGGGTCATGAAGAGGAAGGAGGGGGGGAGACTGGAAGACGCTTTGTCATTGACTTTGAAGGCACTGGCCTGGGACACAAGCTGGGAATGAAGGCAAGTTCTAGAAGCTGGAAGAGGCAGGCAGCCAGCCCGAACCTAGGGCCTCCAGAAGGAGCCTGCCATGCTAACAGTAGCACATGCAGACTGATTTTACCTCTCTCCTCCAGAAACCCGAGAGAGCTTTGTGCTGTTTCCAGCCACCTGGGAACTTACCTGCATATGCCCAATTGTTTCACCATGGGGCACTGCGGGAGGGCCTACAGGGGTGTTTGTGGAAGGTCGTGGGTGGGGGATGAGGGTGGAGTGTTCAGGAAGCATCACAAAGGGTGCTGTGGGAGGGGAAGTGTACTTCCACGGCCCAGGCAGGGTACACAGGGCATTTAAAGGGTTCCAGGAGGGAATACTTTACATAGCAGTCATAGCATCAACAGTATGAATAACGAACGGTAAGAGGCCATGTGACTGCTTTGATGTCAGGTACTGCAGAACAGCTTAGGCCCAGATGAGGTCAATGCCATCATTCTATCCACAGGCACACCAAGGCCTGGGAAGTAGCTTTCCTGAGACCACAGAGCCAGTCCATGGAAAGGAAGAATCAGATCCTATGCAGGCTGTGCCTCTGCCCGCCCGCTGCCCCTCCAATACCAAGACACCAGGCTCTTTACCCCGAGTTAGTGTGGCTGAGTGGAAATGAAACCAAGGAGCCATTACACACCCTCCACCTCGCAGACAAAATAAGGGTATCAGAAAGAGCCAGTGGAGCTCGGATTACCACCTCTTGGCCACTGACAGAGGACAGAGGTGATGGCCAGCTTGAGGGTAAGTCACACCTTCCTTACAGATCCCACGTGTGTAAGCCCCTATCTTTTCCCCCAGTGGTTGACGCTGGGTTGGGGTACATCTCTGTTTCCACGCGTGTGAAGCGCGCAGCTGCCACCTTGGGTTGTGGTCCGAGCGCCCCATTCCCTGACAGTTTGATGAAATAGAGGTGGGGTGATCTTCCCCAGCCCCTGACATTTTGATGTGCAGCCACAACAAGATGATGTCTGGATCCCTCACAGCATCTGTGCTGCTCATCCCAGCCTCACCCTGCTTCCAGGACCTGCTGAACCCCGCAAAACTAATCGGGGCAGCTGGAGCCCCGCCCCGGCCCCTCCACCACTAAGTCTCAGCACCGCCACCTGTAAACTGGGAACCGCCCCCTGCAAACTGGAAACCGCCCCCTGTAAACGGCACCGTCCCCTGTATACTGGGCCCCGCCCAGCTCCAGGCCCCGCCCCCGCAGGCGCTTGTCCTCCGCTCCGCCCCCTGCCTCCAGGCCCCGCCCCGCCTGCACTGGGTCTCAGCACCGCCCCCTCTGCGCTGGGCCCCGCCTAGCTCCAGGCTCCGCCCAACTCCAGGCCCCGCCCCGGCTCTTCCAGGACTGGGTCTCAGCACCGCCCCTCTGCGCTGGGCCCCGCCTAGCTCTAGGCTCCGCCCAGCTCCAGGCCCCGCTCCACCTGCGTTCGGCCTCAGCCCTGCCCCCTGCCTCCAGGCCCCGCCCCCGCCTGCACTGGGTCTCAGTACCGCCCCTCTGCGCTGGGCCCCGCCCAGCCCCAGGCCCCGCCCCCTGCCTCTAGGCCCCACCCGCGCTCAGCCCCAGGCCCCGCCCCCTGCCTCCAGGCTCCGCCTGGCCACGCGCTGCTCCGCCCTTGTCAGGCCCTCCTCCCACCCTCAAGATGGCTGCGGTGCTGTCGGGCCAGGAGCCGTGGAACCGCCTGAGGATCCCCAGGGCGGGGAGCTGCAGCACGGTGACCGTGCCGGCCTCCGGCGCGGACCTCGGTGAGTGAGGCGCCCGGCGAGCGGGGCCGGCGTTTCCGGAGGAGGCCGCGGGGTCCGGCGGGCGCACGTGGGGCGGGCGGGACTTGGCGCGGCGCCCGGGCCGAGGGGAGCCGGGCTCGGGGAAAGGTCCCCCGGAGGCGTGCGGGGTCGTGGCGCTTCCCCTGAAGGGCCGAGCAGGCAGCCTGGGCGCGCGGTGCTCTCCCGGGCCCCTCCTGCAGTTGCGGGCGGGACCCCAGCACTTCTGTCTTCCTGTAGTGTAAACGCTCCCAACCTGGCAGAGCCTCGCGTTCCTCCTCAGCTGCCGGTGCGACGCAGCTTGCAGGTGACTCTTGCCTTAAGCGTTAAGAGCATTCCTGTGAGGCGTGGGGAATTTGCCACCCATTTCCGAGGTAGCCAGTTCTGCATATAGTTGGGGCAGTAAGAGATCTTTCATCTACCGATTCGCTTTCTGCGTGCTCCCACACAGGCAGGGCTGGGCTGTTGCTGAAGTGAGACGCTGGGGATCCATCCCGGCCTCCCACGTGGATGCGGGGCGGAGCTCCTGAGCCCCTGTCCTGCCCAGGAGCAGAAGGCTGCGTGGCCAGCCACAGAACTGGGACTCCGAGCCTCCCAAGGGGTGATCCAACCACTGAACCTGAGCCCTGCCCTTCCTCCTTGGTTTTGTCAACTCGAGATGACTATTTAATGCTGCAGAGCTGCTTAATACTTTGTAAATAGTTGTTACTACTGTAGTGGTTTGGGGAATAATGACTAGGAAAAGTGTACATCTATTTATTACAGGTGACAAGTTTGTTTCACCGATTTGTGATCCATGGTTAATTGAATCCATAGATGCAAAAACCTATGGATACCTAAGGCCAATTATGTATTTTAAAAATGCGTGTTTATTTTATTTATTTGAAAGGCAGTTATGGAGCGAGGGAGAGAGGACTTTTTATCCTCTGAAGCCAGGAACCTGGAACTTGAGCACCGTCTCCCCTGGGGGAGCGGAGCACCTGGGACTCCAGCTGGCATGCACAGGGGTGCCAGTCAGACTAGATGGGGTGCGTTCAGGGTGGTATGGCTGTAGACAGGGGGTGCCAGTTGCAATCCTAGGTGGGCTTAACCTGTTGTGCCACAATGCCGGCCGCCAGCTGTGTGTTCTTCACCTGGTATCTAATGCAGGTTCTTTCACGTTGAACTTTATCTTACTCGTTCTCATTGCAAACTGGGAGATTCGGAGAAGCATTCGTGTGCCCCTCTTCAAGCAACTTGGGGAGATGCACCAAATAAGTGCAATGTACTGTGGGAGATTAAAATCCTGATGAAATGTGATACAGGCATTCCTGAGGAAATGTGATACATGTTGTCTTGTGATTTCCTGGGCTTCATATCATCCGTCACCATTTTCCACCTTCTCATGTACTTGGAATCCTTGATTGGGTTCTTATAGTTGGGGCTGATTGCATTAATGTGATTCCATGAAAGCGGATACGGAGAGATGCTGCTTTCACTGTACCTTCTGTGTTATCCTTAGTGTGGAGATGTGGACTGAGTGTTGTTAAATGTCTATGTCTTAGACCTTTGCGTTGCGGCTGTCATCAAGGAATGCCACCTCGTCACTTTGTCTCTGAAGAGCCAGGTCTTGGATGCTGAAGCGGATGTGTTGTGTGCAGTCCTTTACAGCCATCACAACCGAATGGGCCGCCACAAGCCGCACCTTGCTCTCAAACAGGTGAGGGGAGGCTGGGGGGAGACACAGCCAGGTTCTTGTGGTGTAGGTCACGCACCTCAGTGTTTTGTTACGTGTGGGAATGTCAGGAAATGATTTGTGACTTACAGGTACACGCCCCACAGTTACAGGTGGGCTTTTTCTCCTGAAAGCATTACAAAAATGATTTTTGTGAAAAGAGAATCATGTTTCGATGAATTCTTTCCAAGTCTTGTTTCTAGTGGGTAAGTAAAAATATTCTTCATTATATGCAAGCTGTAGCAACAGTGACTGACCAGTTCAACGATGCAGTGATCTGCTGATTTGATCAAGACAAAGTGTTGGACATTATGAAACAGTTTAGAAAAAAGAAAGAAAGAAAAAGAAAAGAAAAAAACCCCAAAAGGCCAAAAAAAAAAAAAAATACCAAGTAAAGGCTCAGGTGGCAGCAGCATCTAGTCTGTAGTGTGTTGGAGTGGGTGGGCAGAGGTACGGAGAGTTGCCGTGTGCAGTGGTTTCATATCATTTTTTGAGCTTCAGATGAACTTGGTCCCTCCAGCTCCGGGTGGCTTCTTTGTCTCGTCATTTATCTGTCCCTTGTTAATTGTGCAGGTTAGAGCTGCAGCCACCTGGGGAATGTTTTTTCAATTTCCTTTGTGTCAAGTGCTTTGCTCGGTGCTGGTGCTTGTACGGTTGTGTGCACAGCCCTGGTCTCTAATCTTTTTTTTTTTTTTTTTTAAGATTTATTTATTTATTTATTTTTACAAAGTCAGACATACAGAGAGGAGGAGAGACAGAGAAGAAGATCTTCCATCCGATGATTCACTCCCCAAGTGAGCGCAATGGCCGGTGCTGTGCCGATCCGAACCTGGGAACCTCTTCCAGGTCTCTCACACCAGTGCAGAGTCCCAAGGCTTTGGGCCATCCTCGACTGCTTTCCCAGGCCACAAGCAGGGAGCTGGAAGGGAAGCGGGGCTGCCAGGATTAGAACCAGTGCCCATATGGGATCCTGGCTCGTTCAAGGCGAGGACTTTAGCTGCTAGGCCATGCCACCGGTCCCAACCCCCAGTCTCTAATCTTACAGACTGGTCTCTTCTGGGAGATGGTCTTCGGGTTGTGAATAATCACCCATTGTTAACAATTTGATACTGTGTGCTTCTTCCTTTCCCCTAGCTCTCCCATGAAGTTCATTTACAGGTCAGAACTTTCTCTGCCTTTGTTCCTTGCTTAGTTCTGGCTGCTGGTTCGGTTTTTTTTTTTTTTTTTTAGGGCCTGGGGGGGAGGGGGAGCTTGTAGTTTTCTTGCTATCCTAACAGCTGTGTCCTCTTTCAGTCTTTCCTACACTTGGCATACACCAAAGCCAAAGTTAATCATCCTGAAGCACAACTTTGATTTTTCATGGTTCACTACTACGTCCTGTATAAAGACAAGATCTTCTTTGATCTGACTTCTTGAGTCTTTTAGCTTGGACTTCCCTCTCACCTTCAAATCTCTGCCCTTCCTGCCAGCCTGAACTTGTGGTGCATCCAAGGGTTTGCCGTGTTGACACCCCTGTGACGCCTGGCTGGCCTGGTCCTGTGCATTTAGATTACCTGGCTCTCTCCAGGTCCCACTCCCATTGGACACTGCCTGACAGCAACGTTCTTCTTCCCACGGTGCATATTGTGGTATTCTCATTTTGAAGTTAATGTTTTTCTGATCATTAGTAAAATTGAAGTCCTCATTTTTTGTTTATATTTCTCATTCCCTTCACAGAGCACAGGAAATAGTTTCTTCTTGATTGGTCTTCTCTGTGTCTGGGGAGATTGTTCATCTGTGACATCTCTCTTCCTTGCTAAAGTTCTTAAGTGTTTCTTTTTGGTTTTTTTTTTTTTTTTAACCATAGTTCACTTACAAAGGTAAGCAGTGACTCCAGGGAGATTCAGGATTGTTGTCTCTGCTATTCTGAAGGTTGTACTGTTAAATTAGAATTCAGAACTTCAATTTTATTTTATAATTTTTTTTAAAAAAGACTTATTTTTATTGGAAAGCCAGATTTACAGAGAGAAGGAGAGACACAGAGAGGACTTTCATCAGTTGGTTCACTCCCCAGATGGCCACAGTGGCTGGAGCTGAGCTCTTTTGAGGCCAGAAGCCAGGATCCTGGTCTCCTCTCCCACATGGACGCAGGTCCTACGGCTTTAGGCCATTCACCTCTTTCCCAGGCCATAAGCAGGGAGCTGGATGGGAAGTGGAGGAGCCAGGACATGAACCTGTGCCCACATGGGATTTTGGCACTTGCAGGTAGAGATGAGCCACTGTGTCATCCCCTGATTTTCAAATTATTGTATTACATATGTGGCTCCAGCAGGATACTCTTGTGCCTGTTGAGATCTTCCCGTTTTTTAGTCTGATGCAGTCACATACCTGGTCCTTGTAGCCTGTGAACTCCAGGGTTCATGCTGTGTTTTGTACAAGTGTGACTCTTATATTAAAATATATATATATATTGAATATTAAGGATGTTACTGAGTACCTACTTAATGCTGTCCAAAGAGCTGGGTTACAGTGTTCAACAAAATGAACAACATGTATTTTCCTTGCCAGGCATGCTGTTGGGAGAACCACAGATAATCATGCATCAGATGGCGAGTGCTATGAAGAAAAAAAGCAGGTCATCCTAGTGTGATTTGATAAATTTGTTTGGCTGAATAAATGACAGATTTATAACCAGATACAGTACTTTGGCTTGAAATTTCTTTACCTGTACAAAAAGTTCCTCTGTGGTGTTCAGCATATTCCCGTTTTTGAGTCTTAATCTTTTTACTGTCTTGATCTCACTAGATGCACACTGCGTGCATGATAAGTGTACAACTTGGAGCTGTTTTTTTTTTTGTCTTTCAGGTGGAACAATGTTTAAAACGCTTGAAAAAGATGAACTTGGAGGGTGCTATTCAAGATCTATCAGAGCTGTTTTCTTCCGAGTATGTGGATCAAGTGCACTGTGATGTAGTGGGCTGGGTGTTTGAAGTTCCATGGTCTCCCTTTGGACCTTCCTCTACATGTTGCAGGAGTAGAACCAATGATAGCTTAGCGGTGTATATTTGATATTAATACAGGCACTTCACCTAGGGGGTGTGGGAATAAATCTCTGTGTTGGTCTGTGGGAGGACCTGGAATGAAACTGCAGTCTGGGTCATGGTAGGTTACATTGAGACCTCAGTGGATTGTCACTTAGCATGTCAATCTGAAATGAACTTAAACACAAGTCAGCCCTTGAAAACGGCTCTAGAAAGTAATGTGCTTTTCTCTTGTGTCCAGTGAGAATCAGCCTGCCCCTTCCGACATGCGTGTCCTCCCCAGCCAGCCGCTGCTGGAGCTGGTGCTGCTGAAGGTGCTGGGAGCCTGCAAGCTGTTGCTCCGCCTGCTGGACTGCTGCTGCAAGACCTTCCTGTATCCTTGGACCCAGAGAGGAAGCTTCTTCTCAGGCTCTCCTGGAGCTGCCTGATGGGGCCATGGCCAGGAATAGCTGTCTCTGTGTCTCTGACTTGGTGTGTTTATCCAAAGTGCACTGGCAGCTGAACTTTTTAATCTTAGAAACTAAACCTCAGAAAATAAGTAGTTTTCATGACCCAAATAGGAAATTTTTAAGGCTTTAATACTTTCCAAATGATACTTTGTATTTACAATACATTTATTCTTTTATGTTATTAAGAAAAAAAAAAAACCCATAAAACCAAAATGATTTTGGCTTTGTTTTCTCACCTTAACTGATTCTCCAGCTTGACTGTGAAGCATCTAGGTTTGCAGGAGTTCATTATTTTAAACCTTGTGATGGTTGGGCTAGTGAGCAGGTTATGGTATGTATCTGCCCTGGAAGTCCTTTGTTGGTTTTTTTAACCTCTTTACCTCAGCCTATGTTTTTTTCAAGTAGTTTTGTATTTGTTTTTCTTGTGGGATACAGTAAATGTGGGAGTTCCTGTTCTTTATTTAGTTGGCGTTTTTTGGGGTCATTTGGTAAAAGATGAAAGATTTATACAATCTGAAGAGAAACCAGAGTATTTTTGGGGTCATTTGGGAAGCTATGTGCTAAGAGTAATATCAAAGAGGTAAACTTTGTATTTGAAACCATGAGATCAACCGCAGAACAACTAAACAGGTGAGCTTCTAGGATGAGTATTAAATTGTTGGCTTGGTCACATTAGAGTTAAGCTACTTAAAACAATGGGCTGACTGTCGCCTTGGTTATTTCTAACTTTGGTTTCTAATTTTTAATGGCAAGGAGAAATACATTTTGACCTTCCTTAGACCCCACATTTATTTCTTCTGGAAGCACCTTTGTTTTTTGAGGCATATTTGGCTGCTCTAAAGAACTCTGACACACTTGGAGATTACACAGACAGATATAGATATATAGATATAGATATATATCTATAGATATATAGATATATAGATATTTTTTCTTTCTTTGGAGTAATGTTTTGTAGTTGGAGTTTCTGTTTGGATTAGGCTCATCTGGCTACTTGCAAATGTGTATTGTAAATTAAAAGAATTATTTTGCTAGAGGTTGATAGTTGTTCATTTGTCTTTTTATCATACAGTTTATCATATTGTATATTATAATTCTGGCTGACTCACAAGCTCCCGTTTCTTTCTCTAGGGTTCTCTATAAAGGTGTCCTGAAAAGGTTGGTTTCCTTCTATGAGCCATTGTTTGGATTGCTTCAAGTGGTCTCTAGGATTCAACCAATGCCTTACATCAAAGATTTTACCTTTCCTTCCAATATTGCTGAATTTCTAGGGCAGCCCTATCTTGACATTTTTCAGCAAAAGATACCTACGGCACTTGCAGCTAAAGGAGTAACTAAATTGCTCAATAGACTGTTTTTAACAAAAGAACAGTCACCAAGGTCCGGTGAAGAAAACTTACGTAAAATTTCCGAAAAGGCCAAACAGATGAAGGTAGACCTGCAGAATGATCTGGACCTGGGACAGCCAGTGAAGAGTAACCAGGTCTGCAAAGGTAAGTTGCTTCGTAGAGCATACATTCTGACTAGGAAAAAAGAAGTATGCATGGTGTAGCTCAACCTCTCCATTCTTAGTTTCAACTCTTGTTGGTTGTCTTCAACCCACCTACCCCCGATTTAAAAAAAAATATATATATATTTGTTTGAAGGGCAGAGGATAAAGCAAAAGAGAGAGTCAGATCTTGCATTCCCTGGCTCACTCCAAATGGCTGCAGTAGCCAGGTTGGCCCATTCTGAAGCCAGGATCCCAGAACTCCTTGCGGTTCTCCCATGTGGGTGGTGGGACCTAGAGTACTAGAACCATCATCTGCTACCTTCCCGGGCACACTGTCAGGGAGCTGGAGCCAAGTAGAACAGCCAGGGCTCCAACTGGCACTGCATTCTGGGCTGCCAGCGTCCCCGGTGGTAGCTTAACCTGAGCACCACAATGCAGGCCCCACCTGTGAATTATCTTTGGAGAAGTGTAGGATTTTTTTTTTTTTTTCTAAGCTTGAATACTTAGGCTTACTTGTTTTTGCTATTGTGCGATAGTTTTTTGCTTACTTTATGTAACTTTCCTTTTTGGTAATTGGCAAGAAATGCCACACACTTATCAATTTGTTGTAGATTTGAAAATAATATGACTAAGGTTTTGTGTCTAATTTTTTTTCCATCTCCACAGAAGAGTCCTCAGATTTTGATGTGAGAGTTTTCTGCAAACAGCTGAAACACAGAGCTATCCAGGTCTGTTCAGCTTGATGTGATATTATTGTTGAGTTCTGCTAACTTGTAGAGGATGCTGTTCCCCAGGGGTGGGACTCTGCCCGTTGTTTCTCCCCGGCTCTAAGCCTGGTGTCTTCTTAATTTTCAGCATACACTTCCAGACAGTCTGTAGTCAGTTTAGTTGGTGGGATGCCATCACGAACGTTTGCAGAATGACTAAGACCCACCCCAAGTGTGAATTGTATTGTGGCTTCAGAGTATGGGCTGTGCTGACAGGGGATCTGAGTCCTGGCTTTGGTTGTAACTGCTGCTTTCTGGAAGTTTCTTGACTTGTTCAATCCCCATGTCATGGTATTAGTATGTACCTCAGAGGCTTGTGCTGGTTTTTAGTGCACGCTTAGCATTTAGCGGTCTGAAGTGTGACAAAGCATTTCATTGGCGTTATTAGCTGTGGTCATCATTTTGTTGTCTTCCCCATGATTTATTTTGGAGTTTCTGTTCCCTTTCTTCTTTTGAGGGTGAGGCCTTGGCACTGTTCCGCTGATCAGGCAGGATCTGTAAATTTTGCTTTTCTGGCCCTAAAAACAGGTCAAGTGTATCAGAGTCACCTATTTCCCTCCGTTGCTTCTCAGTGTTTATTGCTCACTGCCTTTGGAAAAGAGCTTTCCTCTGCCTTCTTTCCTGAGTTGTTTCTTCCCCTTAAGAATTCTTCAGCTGTTTAAGTAGAGTACTTTCTTTACCTTTCCAAGCACTCTAGTTTGCATTTATGTTCTGTGCAGTTCATGAGTATAGAGTAGGGGTGGGGTATGTCCAGCTCATGGCTCACTAAGGCCTCAAAATAATTTGGTCTGGCCCTGCCAAGGCGACCATATGTGGGACTTGAAATTCAGCAAGTCTGTAGCAGGTTTAACATTGGTCGTTTTCAATGCCCTGTGAGTGATGCTAGAAATATCCAAATGGTTCTGGGAAGGAGAAAGGTTTCCCTGCGCTGGCTTTGAGGGAGGGATAATTTGTTCTTAGTGCTCTCTGTGTCAGCTCAAGTAATCTTGTAAGAGCCGTACAAGAAAGGTGCTGTTCCTGCTGTTTTTCGTATTGCAGGTGGGAACAGGGGGACAGGCAAAGGCCAGGAAGCATGCCTAGGCTGCACCACGAGGAAGGGGCAGGAATGCATTTTGGATGCAGGCCGTTTACCTGGGTAGTTTCTGTTCTTTATCATCACATCAGTTCCCACAATAGTTTTTTTTCCACTCTGTGTCTCAAGCATAACCGTGGTACTTGGTGACTTGGGTGCAGGCTGTCCACCCGTTTGTAGATTAGCTAGGTTTGAAGCTAATCACAACTATCTCTTTAGCAGTTAGCACTACTATGCTCAACTTTCATTTTTGAAAGGTCTCAGTATCTATTTGCAGTCAAATGCTCTACCACTGAGCTATACCCCTATAAAGGTTTTATTTATTTATTTGAAAGGTAGGGTAATAAGGACAGACAGATTATTTCCCATCCCCCGCTTCATGCCCTAATGGGCACTGCGGCCAGGGCTGGGCCAGGTTGAAGCCAGGAGCCAGGAATCTGGGTCTACCATGTCAGAGACAGGGGCTCAGAACCCCTCATCTGCTACCTCCCAGGGTGTGCGGTGTGGGGAACTGCATGACAAGTAGAGCATCTAGGACTCAGCCTGGATCTCTGACATGGGGGGAGGGCATGCCAAGGTTGGCTTCATCTGCTGGCCACAGCACCAGCTCCTCAGCTTGCATTTAGAACAGACTTTCTTTTTTTCCTACTAAGCTAATTTCTGAAATAAGTTTTAAAGTTTATTTGTATTGTATTTTGAAGGCTGAGAGGAAGAGAGAAAAGACAGATATCTTCCACCCACACTTTTCATTTCCTTAGTCTGTCAAGCTGAGACTAAGGCAGATTCGAGTCAGGAGCCCAGGATTCAATGTGGGTCTCCCACATGGTTGTCAGGGACCCAAGAACTTGAGCCGTCATCTGCTGCCTCACAGGGTGCTCATTGGCAGGAATCTGGAATCAGAAGTGGGGCTGGTACGCAAGGCCATGCTCTCCAGTTTGGCACATGTGCATCCCAAGCAGCATTTGACTGCTGTGCCAAACACCAGTCCCGGAGCAGACTTTTCATATGCATGCCAGACATAAACCACCAGGAGAGGGGAGAGGAGAGGATCTTCTTTATTAATGTTTCCTACTTTTCTGCAGTTTCCTCTTTTTAAGTGTGAGAAATTCGGAACTGAGAAGTAGAATGAGTGAAGAAGGGTAGGAGTAGACGTAGGAGGTGGCATATTTTTCTAAAGAAATAGTAAAAGCTAGCAGAATCTGGACTTTACTTGATAAAGGAAGGAGTTAGAGAAACAAAGGTTCCTGTTAGAAGGTGGTTGAAGAGGAATAGGAGATGCTTGCTTCAGTTTGCTTTCCTCTCCTGCTGTGGTCAGCATGTATTTGTGAACTGACTGATGGAATAGCATGCCGGGTGCTTTGCATGGCCTCTCCATGCTCCGTGTCCTCCAGTGCTGGCAGTAATGACCCATCACTTAGGAGAGTTGCCCATGGAGGGAGCTTCCGTGGGAAACAGGCTATGGTAGCTCAGTGGTGGAGATGGGAAGCCCCCTCAGCAAACTTTCTTTCTCTCTTGGGCCTCTCCCAGTATTCTATCATGTGGAGTTTTATTCTTATATGTATGATAAATATTTATATTGAGTTCCCTGCTTCAACTGAGCTCAGCTGCAGATGAATTTGGTGCAGAAAGGGGGAAAAGCCATGGGTGTTAGGAGCAGTGTATAAAATATTCAGTTTTTTAAGAGAAGAGGAAAACTCAGCAAAAACTAAATCCCTTCTTTTAAAAAGACTTAAGGTTTGCTTGTGAGTGGTTTGTCTTCTTGTCATAGATTTGCAAGTCAGTAACATTCAGTGCTTTTCCCACCCTTAACATTTCAGGAGAAGAGCTTTGCGTTTCAGTGTTCTCGGCCCAACCCGAGAACAGCCAGACCTTCTTCCAGAGTGAGATGGGCTCCTGGTGCCAAAAGGCTGGTGCAAAGATTCCGAGAAGCTGGGACTTTCACACAGCTCTCAGAAGAAATCCAAGTGGCTGTTACATGGTGCAGGAGCAAAAAACTCAAAGCTCAGGCCACCTTTCTGAGTAACAAACTTCTGAAAAGTAACCGGCTTAAACATGTGGAAGCTCAAGGTTACAGGTGAGCATATCACACAGATTCCTTTTTCTGTTGCCAGCTAGTGCAGAAGCATATTCATCCAAACCATCACTCTTTAAAATGGGATGTCTAGCAGTTATGCGAGTGTTAAAAGAGAATCTATTAAAATTGTAATTTCTCTTGTTGCTTCTGTTATCTGGGCCATCATTAAGAAGAAAGTAAGCCGAGGCAAGCATTAACAACTGTCTGTTGGGCCTGTGGCTACAGCTGCATGGAACAGACAGTGGCTTTAGGGAGCTTGTGGTCCAGTGGGCAGTGGCCCGGCTGTGCACTGCTGCAGGGGTGTGGAGTCATAGCCGGGCAGAAGGTGCTCGCCTCCCACAAGGCCTGTGCCAGACTGCCGGGCTGGGTCAGAAGTGATGTTCATGAGAGCTAGACTGTCCTGGTTCTGAATTCCTGAAGCTTACATGAGGCTAAGTATTTCAGGGCTTTGTATGTTTATTGGAAAAACTAACAGGTGCCATGGTAACAATTTCAGTCACTAGGGCTATGTAATTCATAGGTGGAATTACTGTAGTTTTTTTAAAAAAAGTCCTTCAAGAAATATTCTCTACATGCGTTACAACATAATATCTTATTTACATTTATAGACATATTATTCAGAGCTTTATAGTGGAACCTGTGCATGAAACCACTTTAACTCTCTACAATTTGTTTTGTTTTATTTTTAAAATTATGGAAAATATTTCTATTTCAGAAAAGATTGATATATAACAAATTTCAATTAAAAACCAAAGAGAAATTGTTGACTTTGAGAATACCAAAAAAAGTTTGCAGAAAAATGGGATTAAAAGATGTTTATTTTGGTACCCAAAATTTTTGAAGTCCATGCATGGATTTTTCATAATACAAATTTTCCATTAATGTTTTGAAGACCCTGTGTATCTGTGGACTTCAAGGGTTTATTTATTTATTTATTTATTTTTGCAGTAAAAGAAAACATCTTTTAGTTCCATTTACCATAAGCTTCTTGAATTCCAAAGGGATGAAATTGCTGGAGAGGTTATCACATTAGGTACCTCAAAACGGATCTGTTCTAAGATGGAGAGAGGTGTTTTGATCAACACTGGGTTTTAATTCAAATGTGACATTGGTCACAAGTTTGTGTTGGTTGATGAAACTATTGGTGTATACTCCCTAATGTAGTGCTGCTTTGCTGTTTCATTAATACTTTACATTTTTAGTCTGTTTTACCACTTAATGCCCACCATAACTCTCTGAGGTAGGCAATATTATTCCTATTATATATAATATATAAACCCTTATATATATATATATATATATGTAATGAAGAATTAGAACTAGAGATCTGTATCTCAATTCAGGTTCTCTGATTCTTTTCATGTTTTTTTGTGTGCGTGTGAGATATGTAATCAAAGATCCGGAATTGCTTCTTTCTCATGGGCTTCTTCCAAGTTCTGCATGTGTCAAAGGGAGGAGAGGAGGCTTGTGGGTTGGTGAGAACAGACCTGTGCTGACCTTCTAAAGTCCACCTGTCATGGACAGTGAGGAGGTCAGTGAGGCATGGAGGAATCCTGAGGTGGTGGGCTTGGTTCAACGCCCTAAAGCTTCCAGCTGGCGGGAGTTCTGTCTCCAGACTTGTGGATGGCACAATAGGAAGTGCAGTTAGGGTAGGTCAAGACTTTTAGTTTGTGCCAGAAGCCCATTTTCTCATTCTTTTATATAAAACTCCCTCTTCACTTGTATTCAGATTCTTTGTTCATTTCCTACCCCAAAGTGAAACTGCTTATTTGTACATGGAGTAATATAAGCTGACAGGGTTTTTTTCACTTGAGATGTTTTCCTTTATCTCCTCCTGTTACATTGTGAACAGACTAGAAGGAGTAGGGAAAAGCTCTGGCTGGCACTAACGTGTGGAGGTATTTTACCGATAAGCTACCTTGCCAAGCAGCTGTAGTTTACTTTGAAAGCAAAATTGACACATTTACCTGCCACCTGACTTACTGGAAAGTTGTGGTGTGAAAACAGATTTGAATTAAACTTCCATTTCCTTTTCATTGATTCTGGGATTTTATACTTTTCTCTTCGAAGCTGGTAGAAAGAACATGTATCAAACATGATTGAGGGTGTTTTTCTGCATTTTAACAAATGCTCAGTTTTCCTTTCTGTTCCCTGCAGTTTGCCAAAGAAACTAGAATGCATGAAAACATCCATTTGCAACTGCCTTCTTCGTGGCTCAGGTGCCAGAACTTCAAAACATCACCTGAGACAAAGAAGATCGCAGAATGCATTTCTACCAAGACAAAGGAAACCACAGAGGAAGGTTCAGTCAGTTCTATTAAAGGAAATTCAGCAGTTCTGTCAAGGGACTCAGGAGATTGCTACAGATCCTAGAACCAAGAGGAGGCTGGCTGACCATGCAGTTCGCAGCCCTGAGCTGTCCCGGAACTCCAAGAGTAAGCAACTCTTGAGTAGCGGAGGTGTAAATCTGGACTTACAGACCACAGAGAAACGGACTCGAGAAAACCGCACAGGAAGCAATGAACATGAAACTGAATCATGGAGAATGATGCAGATGAGCAAATATAATACATCAGGATTCACTAAAGAGAAGGATGACATTGATGATATTTTTGCTTTAATGGGAGTTTAGGTGTTCTTACATGAGACTTCTAAGCAATTAAGCTTGGCTTAAGGTTCTGCTGTTTTAAGTGGAACTGCTAAAACCTTGAAGTACTTTGGATGGGATTCAGGGAGAAATTGCATTAGGGCAGTATTGCTCAGAGGTTCACTTTAATAAAATATTGTAGCTATGTGTCACCTAAGTATTTATTTGGCGTTGACCAACTACCAGGTATCAAGAAGAAACATCTGTGATAGGTGGCCTTTAAGCAGATGTACTTCCTTGGCTGTGGACGATAGGTCACTGAAAAAGTTAGTAGTTTTATGATTTCTCAGGGAATTATTTAAATAATTAAGGTTATAAAAAACTTTGTGCTGGGCCTAGTGTGCTGGCCTAGTGGCTAAAGTCCTTGCCTTGCACATGCCAAAATCCCATGTGGGAGTCGGTTCATATCCTGGTTGTTCCATTTCCCATCCAGCTCTGTGCTTGTGACCTGGAAGAGCAGTCAAGGACAGCCCAAAGCACTGGGATCCTGCACCCAAGGGGTGGATCTGCATCTCCAGTAAAAATAAATAAATCCTTAAAAATTAGAAAAACAAAACAAAAAAAAATCACTTTGAGTCCTAAGGAAAATGGGGCCTGGTAAAAACACCGATAAGGCTACTTTGGCCTTACAAACTCCATTATGGATAAATTTAAAATACCAAAATTTACAGGTTCTGAAGGTTATGCTGTCTTGTTTAGAGTGAGTCATCAAAGGGACTCAAATTGTCTACCGGGGACTGGTCATAACCATTATTTCTTATTGTTTACTTAACTCATAGGAGGGTATATGAAATGCTTTTGGAGTTGCCCCAAAAGGTTATTTTCTCATGAGTTTTGATGCCAGTGAGTGATTCCAAGAAAAACCTTTCCTCAAAAGTATGTAAGGTGCCTTATGCTTCTATATTAAATACAGTTAGATAATTAAGAAGTAGATGAGAAGGTAGAATGAAAAAATATAGAGAAGATACAAAATCGACCTTTGAATGGGGCTGGAACAAATTTATAATTTATTTTATTGCCATATGTGTACATTGTTCAAAAAGTTGGTTCTGAGGGTATTTAAACAATGATGTCAAGTTTGGTATCATTCAAAAAATTATTCTAAACTATTTGAAAGGCAGAGTTAGAAAAAGTAATCTTTCATCCATTGGTTCATCCCCCCAAACACATGTAATGGACAAGGCTCTCCCACATTGGTAGCAGGTGCCCAAGCACCTGAGCTGTCTTTATGTCACTGCTTACCCAGGCACATTAGCAGGGGCATTCATTTGGGATGTGGGTGTCGCACGTGGTGGCATAGCACACTGTGCTGCAATGCTGGCCCCTATGTGTATTAATAGTAGTTAGGAGAGTTAAAGTTGAATCTTGTGCTTCTATATCACATGATTCCACTGAAGGTAGTCTCCAACTACTTGGGCCATCTTCAGCTGCTTTCCTAGGCACATCAGCATGCAGCTGGATCTGATGTCTAGTAGCCAAGACTCACACTGGTGCCCGTTCCGAGATGCTGGCACTGCAGGTGACCCCCATGTCACAGTGTCAGCCCCCACAAAGGCTGTCCAAGCAAGAAAATAACTGGCAAGCACAGAAGGATGACTACTAAGAGAATTATTTTTATCATAGTATATTTTGTGATATATATATGTACATATATATATATATTTGAAAACACTGATTAGAGGTGACCAGTTCTATCAATCATAAAACAACTGAAAATATATTCAGAATTGAGTTTTCTGAAAAGGCCACACAGCTGTTAAGCCTCACTTTTAAAAGACTAGGCAATGTCATCTTCATTAAAAGTCTTTTCCATTAATGTAATTCAAAGTGAGGCTTTTATCTTTCCATCTTGACTCTTACAAGGTACCAATTCCTGTCCCATCAGCCTTCTTTTCTTGCCCTCTGCAAACTAATTTTTTCACCTAATACTGCTTTTTCTGGCTTTTTTACTAGACAGAATGTTACTTCCCCGACAAATGTCTTTTTGTAATAAATAAGTGCATTTTGCTGTGTTCTCTAGTTTGTCTTTACAGGCATGTGACTGTCTTCTGATACACTGCTTCATAATATCATTTTAATCAATGGCTTATGAGGACACAGATACAGATAAAAACCAGAGAGATCAAGTGATTTGCCCAAAGTCCAACATGTAGTATACATTAGACATAGAGCTTGCATTTTCTTTTTTTTAAAAATTATTTTATGACAAGTTTAATAGGCATTGGGGTTTCCCCTCCCTGTCCCCCTCATCTCCTCCCCTATTGTTATCTCCAGTCTGCATATGCTTTCAGTTTGAATCCTGTGTCCTGCCTTGAAATGACTGGAGGTTCCAATGTGGACCGGTGAATCTGATCCAAGAACAATTTTTTAATATTCAAGACTCGATTAGAAAGATTACTAGTAGATTTACATGGAGGCATCTTTTCTATAAATAGTTAACAGAAAAGCAGCCCCTTTAATACTTGAAAAACTTGACAGACATTTTCTTTAAAAGATAAAGCCCGATAAATGATATGGCAAACCTTTGGTGATACATTTCCATCATATGAGCTTCTTGTATACTTTGGTTTTGGATTTGTAAAGGAAAGTAAGTTATAACTATTTTAATGAACTGCTTAATTCAATTACTTATAAACCTTTTTCATCCCAGATGCAAATTCATTTGTTAAAAAATATTTTTATTTAACTTAAAAGCCAGGGTTACAGAAAGAGAGGGACAAGGAGAAACAGAGGAACAGATCTTTCATCTGCAGGTGCACTCCCAAATGAAGGCCATGGCCAGAGCTGGGCTGGTCCAAAGCTGGGAGCCAGGACTTCTTCCAAGTCTCATGGGTGCAGTTGTCTAAGCCTTCTGTTGCTTTCCCAGGCCACTGGCAGGGAGCTGGTCGGAAAGTGGAGCAGCTGGACTTGAGCTGATGCCCATGTGGGATGCCAGCTCCACAGCTGGAATAGCCTAATATGCCACTGTGCCAGCCCTTGAGGCAAATTCATTCTTGCTGTGGAAGATGCACATTTTAAAGCACAAGTGATCCTTCCCCACATTAGAAATAATATGCTTAAGACAATGTTGATTCTTCTAGTGTGCAAGTCCAGTAGGTATGAAGAATTTTGAATCTTCAGCTAAACTAGGCACTGTTAGGTCAAGGTTCCCTGTTATATTTGCTATAAAGCATTTCAACAGATGAATTCCAGAATGGGTCATAGCACTGTGAAAACAGAAAAACAGTCACAGGTGGTAGCAGATCTGAACTTACCTAACATCTTATTTCCTTTGTGAGTCCAAACATTTTGCCATATCCTCTATTTTGCTGTTTTTCCAATGTTAAGTCTTGATTGCTTTAGTTTTCTTGATGACAAAAATTCAGTCATTGTAACTTAGGCCTTTTCCCCAGGTTTTGACTTTTTAAACAAAACGATCACCATTCCTGTGTGTATTGTTTGTCTGTCTTCCACTATGCATGCCTCCCTCCACGTACCCATCAGGAGTTAGCCATAGTCTCTCAGGTGCATGTGCTGATTTTCCATCTAGGTGAAACAATTGCTGTATTGCTAGCTCCCTTCTTCACAATGTACATGTTTTTGGACTTTTTGCCTAACAGCCCACAGTGATTTTTACACTGAAGGGACACTGAAGCAGTTTAAAGAAGTACTAGTTGGATGATTCACACCCTAATTGCGGCACCACGAACTCCTTTGCAGAAGTTCTGTCAGTTTCCAGAATTTTCTGTCCTTACAGTCATGCTCATCTGCTTGGACTCAATATAGGGGAAAGTCAGAGAAGAAATTCTGTAACAACATCTATAAAACTCACTAATTCTAACATCAGTCTTTCAAGGCCTTTCATCATTTCTACCTTTTTCCCTGCTGGGAACATGAAGAGGAGCATTTTTGCCTTATAGGCTAACAGACCAAGTTGACTGGACTAAATGTTTTTGCCACACTTTATCCTTCACCTACCACAAGGATACAGAAGGAAACAATGTGACATTTTATAATAACCATTTCTGGATTGGACAAATTCCCTTCTTGGGGGAGGGCCTGGCACTTGGCCATGCAAGTTAAAGCAAGGTGTACATATGTAACATACATAATTTTTTTTTCAGTCACTGGTATGGGGAATGGTGATATTCTTGGAGGTGTCAACTTATAGATTCTGAGTGCCGGGTGGCCTTCTGCAGTGAAGAAGTGGGATTCCAGCAGGCATTTTGCTCATTAGAGTTTAACGCTGATCCAGATTAATAGTAAAATGAGGGCTTTTGGAAATAATTTCTATCGGAGACTAATTTTAGAATTACAAAAACAATGCAGTGCTTACCTTACAGGAAACAACTGAGGAAAACATCCTTGGGTTTGCATGTTGACAAATCTTTGGATCTGAAGCACTTGTTTTAAAAGATGTCCCCTAGAGGATTTGTCAATTTTTGTTAATACCATCTACAAGCAAAAAAAAAAATTAATATATTAAACTATTTTTGATATGCCATTTTACCTATGTAGGTCTGACTATATGAGCCTGTGCAGACCTCTCACAGAATCTGTGTTGATGCACTCATCTATAAGACACAATTACTGAGAAAGGAGGTACTCCGTGAAGATTAAACAAGTTAATAAGAGAATCATAAAATATACACTATATTCTGCTGTGTAATGCTGCTTAACAACACAGGGCCACAATATCTTGGTAAGATCAATGAGGAGGACCCTGTAGCTACTCTAACAATTGGCACAAACTGCGTTTATGATCACAATAGATGTTTCAGAAATGAATATCAGCTTGTTCCACACAGATTTGCAAGCTTGTGGTCGTTTTTGACTTACACAATAATTCCTTAAAGAGGTATCTGTTGGCTGTTCTTATCTACTGTAGTAATCTTTCAAGTAAGCACAGGACTGTATTTGTCCAAATACCACCACGCATTGGAAGAAGGTCACAACATGGTGGTTACAGAATTAATGAAGGACTAAAACCTTAAATTTTCCTGGAGGATTTCTTTGTTTACACTTTTTAGTTAGAAAAATGCTAATGAGAAGGAATGAGAAGCAGAACCTGGGTGGTTTTTCTTGACTAATGAATCTGCCATAAATGGTAGTGTTTTCCTAAAATGGCAAATGTGTCATTTTACTATCCAAAGAAGGAAGCTAACATTTCTGAGTAGTTAAAATATGCAAAATACATGAATTCACAAACTGGTACCAACATCATTAAAGCAGGATGGCTATTATTTAACAAAATTGGTTTGACAGTACATAAGCATTTTTACTACGTATACTGACAATGCTTCTGACTTTTCATAACTAAGTTATCCCTAATGTTTCATAGATCTTTGCAAACCTCGAGAACCACATAATCCAAGTGCTAATAATATGGTTTGATTTACATTAAACTGTTAAATGTTACTGGTTTTCTGAAATTTTTTGGAAACTATAGTTATTGTGGTTTTTGCTTTTCTTTAGAAAATAACTTTATGTGTGTTTTAAGATTTATTTATTTATTTGAAAGTCAGGGTTACAGAGAGAGAGCGGCAGAGAGAGTGAGGCAAGCTTCCATTCCTTGGTTCACTCCCCAAATGGCTGAGTGGCTAGGCTGGGCCCGGCTGAAGCCAGGCACCTAGCACTCTACCCAGGTCTCCCACGTGGCTCTCAGGCCATCATCTGCTGCTTCCCCAGGAGCATGAGAAGGAAGCTGGATGGGAAGTGGAACAGTTGGGACTTGGGATGCTGTATTGCAGGCAGCAGCTTAACATCCACAATGCCAGCTCAGAAAGTAACAGTACTGTTTTATCTAGAAATCTCATAAAGCACTACTCATGTCAATGCCAACCTACTAAGCCATGCCCATGTGGGAGCCCTTAGAAACAGTTCCTGGCTTCTGGCTTTGGACTGGCTCAGTGCTGATCACTGTGGCCGTCTGAAGAGTAAGCCCCTGGATGGAAGACCCCTCTGTCTCCCTCCTCTCTGTAATACTGACTTTCAAGTAAAAATAAAATCTTAGAAAAAAAAAATGAGGGGCATACAGACAAAACTCGTACTTCTAACTGCAACCATGATTCCAAAGAACACTTACCACATAAGGCAATGCAAATTCTTCACACATTTCTATGGCAATGTTGTCTAATTTTGTAATTCCAACAGCACTATCCACTAATAAAAATGTTCTCTTCAAGCTGTAAAAATGCAGAAAAGAAGACTAGTAGTAATATAATATATACTCATTCATTTTGCCCCCTCGCTGAACCTTTACTATGCTATGAAATAACATAATTTTCAATTCAAAATTTAAACATTTCTTTGGGATTCACCAGGCAGTTCATCCCACAGTCCAACAGGTCTCAATATCATTTACTTCCAGTAACTAAACCCACTGAATATTAATTTGTTTCAATAAGCATGTATTGATATTAGTCTGCCTGGGACTTTATATCAGAACCGTGTACCACTCTAGTGGTAGAAAGACAGAAGCTCAATTAACTCTAAGTTGCTATAGAAATGTTTAAGAGTAGCAGACAACAAACTATTTTCTTAGATGAATAGTTTCTGTGTAAATCCACAAGCAAGATACTGATAAACATTTTCTACACTTCAGATGTTTAGCATTACCTTTCTACAGGTTGCGCAATTCTTGAAATAAAGAACTTACTTGACTATGGAGACAGAATCAGAGAGTATGATATCTGAGGCATTTTAAGAATGATCACAATCTACTGATGTTTATGTAAAGCATGTCAAAAACAATAACCAACAATTTTTCATTTTCAAAATTAGCCAGCTAAGAGTTTGTTTTTTTAAAAAAATTACTCAACTCTGCTGATGTTCTCTTTATAATTTCAATCCAGAGAAACACTTGAAGCTAGCATTAAGCTAATCAACAGGCAGAAATCAAACAAGCAATATATACCACTATTCTGAATACAGTATTGAAGATCACTGTGGGAATAAAACAGGCCTTCTACATTAAATTATTTGATAAATCCAAAATGTTCATTGTGTATACAGTACGCTTGATGAAAAATGTGCTTTGGATTTTAATGTATAACCATTATAAGAAATTTTTGTTTTCTTACTTCCTTCGTTCTTTTAGATAGGCCTCTACCATATCAACAAAATCTTCCGGTGCTCTATAGCCATAACCTGGCATGTCGACCATGGTAAAGTACTTTCCAACTTTGAAAAAATTCATTTTCTTTGTGTGCCCCTGACAAAGTAAATGGAAAAATAAAAGCTGTCTTAAAATATATCCTTTATATATCACAAAATGTTTTCTATTCAATCAACAAATTGATTTTAAAAGCCTAGGCATTTAATTCTAGCTCTCCTGATGATGACACAGTAAAACAGCTGGAGCTAGGTGAGCCCGAATCAGAAAACTCCCCCCCAATTCATTTTGAAAACAGCATCTTAAGACTTTAAGTTCAGATGAAAAACTCCCCTTGTTACATTAACTGCATGACTGTATTAGTGGATACCCTCTGCTGTGTCTCCACCTTAAAGTGAAATTAATTATGGCACTGATGGGTTAAAATGATTACCACCACTCATAAAGGTGTTCCTAAATCTAGATCCAAAGCCTGACAACTCTTTATATTTATACTGACACCCTAAATTCAAGATTTTTTGTACGTTTTGATAGGTGGATTTTAGTGTTTTCAGTAAATAATTTCTTTAAAAAGCACACACAGCATTAAATTATAGTTGTCTAAAAAAGATTAAAATGTGGCTTAATCATGCTTTTGGGTCTATGAAACATTTAAAAATTTTATGAAAATATTTTCTCACTTGAAAAGTAGGAGTTAGGGAAGACTGATCCATCTTTCACTTGCTGGTTCACTCCTCAAACGCCTGCAACATCCAGGGCTGAGGCAGGCCAAGGCAGCAGCCTAAAACTACATGCGAGTGGCAGGGACTCAAGTCAATACCTACTGCTCCTCACACACATTAGCAGGAAGGCAGACCCAAAGTGGAAGAACTGGGACTTGGACCAGGTATTTCAGTTTGGGATATAAGCATTCAATGTTGTTACTCAATTGATGAGCTAAATGCCCACACTTATTCACCAAAAGAAAGACTATTTAAAAAAATTCAGTTGTTTGGATTTTAGAATAAGCTTTATTAAGAAAGATTTTTATAAGCACTGATTAAGCTCCCAGTATTTGTGTATATGTAGTAAAATAAGTTTGGAATTACAGATTGGGAATGTCAAGAATAAATTCCCTCTTACAATAGGAAGGGGTTTACCCTACCTAGAAGTTGTAATTAATTTTTTTTTTATGAGACAGGGCAGGAAGTTGAGGGGGTTAAAGGATGGAAAGAATCATGAGTTTTGAGGAAAGGGCAGTCTGTATTGTTGAGAAGCAAGTACAGGTAACTAGAAGATGACAGCTGTTAGAGCAAGCTAGCTGGGACAAATACAGAATCAGCTCTGGGAAAGCATAATGTGCCTGACAGTGCGTGTGCATGAGTTAGTAAGGAGGAGAAAATAAAGCAATTATCTTTTGAAGCTTTCCTCCTAAAATCAACATAGAACTAGATGATCTCTAAGAAGGAAATGCAGAATGACACTAAAACACTTTATCTTGCAACTCTTTGTAAAAATTTTGACAGAAGAATTCTGCAAGGTCTCAGACTATTTAAATCAACCTAGCCACACTTTATTTGCTTCAGAGAAATACATAAACCATCAATGAAATTTCTTATTTATTTGCTTGAAAGAAATCACTTCTTTAGCAACTTAGCAATTATGGTTTCTTGTACTTTCCAATTTTATTTCTTTTAATTAATTCAAGAGATAGTCCAGGTAACAAAAAAAACTCAATATACCGGTTTTTTGGAGATTCTGACTTCAACCTCAGGGGCCAGTGAAAATAATGCTTTTATTAAGGAGGATTTTCCCACATTGCTTCTGCCTATAAAACACACCTATGCAAGAAAAAAGGAAATAATTGAATCCAGTTAATATAATTGCATATACATTATATCATGTTGTTATATTAAATGTGTTCACTGCAAAACTGTTGGAACTATTCAGATATACCAACCATACATCAACGAAACATACTCCAATTTAGTCAAACCTCAAATTTTAGCATGTAGCCAACGTTTATTGAATGATTTCAATGTGTTAGGTACTGTTCTAAGCATTCCACATGAGCAAAGAGACTGCAAAAAGTTCAAGAAAAAGTAAAAGATAAAAAAATTAAAACATTATTTCTCAACTTATGCTCTATCTAGTTCAAGACACTAAGGTTTTCAGTGATATCTGCTATCTAATCTATTCCTAGAGAACTGAGGGTCCTGAGATGGCATGTGGTTTCAATGTTACCCTGGAGAAAAATTTCATTTAAAGATTATGTTTTTACAGATTAGAAAATAAAAAGAGATTGGAAAGTGCCAAATCAGAGCTGTAAGGCAGAAGCCTAATAATTTCCCATTGACATTCCCCCCACCCCCGTTTGCTTGTTTTTCTTATGCAGGCTTTGGCTAACTCTGCTAAGTCACTCCGATAAGAAGTCTCTGTTCTTTGGCACAGCAGACAGCAAGTAAAATACCACCAGGAAGCAGAGAACTGCTGCCACAACCTTCTCCTGTTTGACCAAACCACTTCCAACGGTTGGCAGCCACTGCTTTGTTGTGCTTTATCTTCAGGATAATGGTAGAAAAGCCATGAAACATGTTCTATTTCAGGAAATGCTGCAAGATCTTGTTTTACATGCTCAAAACTTTTTTTGTGAGAACTCTATCATTGCTTTGCAGATGATGTGGGCACAACAGTTTTGGCATCCATCAAACTTAAGGTTCATTCTACAGGAGCTGTGTATAGTGTGGTCTCTTGTTTTTGCTGTTCTTCTTTGGTTAGGGCATGAAGAAAATAATTTTTTTTCTTGCAAATTTATATGAACTGCCTGCCACTGTGGGTTTCATCTTCAACATCATCATATCCCTTTCAAAACAAGCTGTTTATTTCAAACTGGTGGTCTCTTTCGGAGCCTTGTTTTCAAACAGGAGCTCCTTTCAAACTGATGTTTTACCCTTCTTAGTGGCTCCAACTAAATCCTATTTAGACATGGTATGTTTACTGTGCTGCAAAACAAAATTAAAATCCATGTATTTTTTTCATAATACAAATTTCCATAGACTTTTTGAAAGCACCTAAGATATTTTTTGTACAAGATCCCTATGAAGTAGGTGACGTAATTAGTTCCAAATTACTGAGCTATAAAGTGAAAGGACTGAAATTTGAACTTGATTGAAATCTATATCCAGAATCCAAGTTTCTAATTATACTGTGCTACTCAAGAATATCTGCCACTTTTGTTATGCACTCCAAATTTAAGAAGCCTTTTGAAAACAAAACAATATATATCATCAAAAATGGTTCAAAAGTACCACATATTTGGAACTCTCATCCAGGGAAAATCTACTTTTCCTCCAGACTCCTGCAGGGTGCTGTAACAGCACTTCTTTTCCCTTCACCTCTCTTGGTCCAACTGAGCTTTTCCCCTTGTGTGGAAACAAAATATTATAGATAATCATCTTAAACATACTTGGCTCTGTGTCTTAATACAGTATCGAAGGAGAAACACATCAATGTGTTATTCTAAATGATGTAAGTACTATCTCTTGGGGGATATTTTGGAAATTTCTAAGGACACTTTTGGTTATCCTTAGGATTGGAGCAGAAAGGGGCCAGGCATGCTACATACTCAGCAAAAATCAGGTTAATTCTTTAAAATTAATCTGAATCTGCTTTAATTTCAAATACTGAGTAAATCCAAAGTGCATATATATAATGTGTATATGGAATACACATATATGTATATATATGTATATATGTTTCCCTCTGTCCTTCTGCCTTTAAGTCTGCCTTTTGAATAAAAATAAATCCTAAATAAAGAGATTTATTTATTTTTATTGGAAAGGCAGGTTTGCAAAGAGGAGAGACAGAGAGAAATCTTCCATACTCTAGTTCACTCCACAACTGGCCACGATGGCTGGAGTGGAGCTGATCTGAAGCCAGAAGCCAGGAGTTTCTTCGGGGTCTCCCACATGGGTGCAGAGTCCCAAGACTTTGAGGCATCCTCTGCTGCTTTCCCAGGCCACAAGCAGGGAGCTGGACCGGAGTGGAAGACTAACCAACTGAGTTATTGTGCCAGGCGCTAAAGCTGAATTTTAAAAAATAAATTACAGGATGCAAAAAAAAATTCTTCAAAGTTACAGTCAAAAAGTGAGTGATAGCCTCTCCAAAGCATTAAGAGTTTATGAGCTTCCTGAGTAATGATTACCTAACTTACAGCAGTTCTACCTATATTTAGACAAACTTACGGCAAGGTGCAGTTTTAGGCAAAGGTAAAGATCTGAGGCATCCTTGAGGGAGACCTGGAACAAAATACTGTATTAAATTGTAGGACACCCATAAAATACACTATGGAGTCTCACTGACAAAACATTGTTTAAAAACATCTTTCACATTATTGCTACATATACCATCATTTTTACTGGTTATGTGGAATTGACATGGGTCGAAAACATTGATCGAGGTGATTTGTTAAACTATTACAGGTCCCATTTCACTAAGTTCTCTCAGCATGTTTTGTTCCAGCTCAATTGAAACCTTTAAACATTGCTCGGTGGCCTGCGGACAAGCGACAGCGGCGAGCGCCTGGGCTGGCGCTCCGACCGGCGGGCACGCGGTGGCCGCGCTCACCTCCGGCCGCCGCAGGTCAGGGGCGTGGTCCAGCCGCACCGCCGAGCTGACGTACTCGACGCGGTTCCGGGCGCCGGACGCGAAGAAGCTCTCGGCCTTCGAGATGTCCTCCAGGCTCGGGTGGAAGATCCTCGGCCGCAAGTCCGCCCTCGCGTCCGGGGCAAGGTACTGCTCGAGCTCCTGCAGCGGGTACACCAGCTTCGTCAGCTGTCTCCTCGGCAGCCGAAGCACCTCAGCAAAGGCCTGAGACGAGCTGGACGCTCGGCCTACGCCTCTCAGCGCCGCCGGCACCTCAGACAGCCTCCCCACTCCCAGCCGCAGCCCCCGCGCTGCCATTTTCTCTCCCAAAAAACTCCACTCTGGGACCTCGACGCGCAGTCTGGGCTGCGCGTGCGTGGGCCTCTTCGCTATGACTGCTGGGAATTGTAGTCTTTTTTTACACCCCCCCCCCCGCCCTTTTTAAAAAATCTGCGTTCTTTGCTTCCAGTGCGTAGGGGACAGCAAGGGCGCAGTGATTTTCAGGGAAAGCCCACTACGTTCTTTTACACCCTGAGCTAACCAACCGTGACATTGAAATACACCGTTTTGGGGAGGGTGTTGAAAGATTTTCAAAAGTGGAGTGTACGTTTGAAACCCTGGTAGATTCCATGTGTGTTTTCATTGTTGTAGTTTCTTCCTATCTTACTGATTGATGTTTGTTATTCGTCCACATCACAAGGGAAAACACTTTTTGCAAAAAAGAAAGCAGCCAGTGAAAATTGCAGTTGGAGTGACACTTTTATTTTCTCCTCAAGAAGATCTGTGTGTGTAACAGTTATAAGAGACTCACTGTATCTGGGAATTTCTTGCAAACTTAAAGCAAAACGATTTTTTGCACAACTATTGCAGGACTGCTTCCTAGGGTTTCCAGGATGACATCCTAGTTCAAGAGCTTCTTCTCACAGCAATACATATTCATATGACCAGTGCTGGGATTTTATAAATTAGTGAAATGAATAATTCAGAGTACTGTGTGAAAAGACAATGTCTTCGAAAGCAGCAACAAACGTCAGAGGAATGGAAACTCATTGCTTGTTGAATGGTTTTCCAGGTTGTTCAATAGCTAAAATAGGATAATTATGGAATAAATCTAATAATGACAGCCAATGATCAGAACTAATGAGAGGTCCCGATACAGCAGCCTCATTTGCTGCTGCCCAACTGGTTTTACTGAAGAGGAGGGAACACTAGAATAGAGAGGAATTAGCTAAAGAGAAAGAGCCTACTGTAGAGCTGCAGTAGTCTTTGTAGAGTTGATAGGGAGCTATTGAAGTCCACAGAATTGGCTGTAGGAGGCCCTGAGCCTGCTAGGGGTTGTCGCCCAGGCCTGGGTTATGGCAGTCCTCTCAGTGTTGTCATGGGAAGTGTCTTGGCTCTCCGTGGTCTGTATGAATGAGTGTTGCTGAGCAGTTGAGTTTGCATTGTTTGCTCCTGAAAAATCAAATACCCAGAGTCACTTTTTTTTTTTTGAGAGAGAGCTTTATTTACAAAGCAGCCAAGTAAATAAATCAGTGGAACTCCTCATTCAAAAAGGGTTGGGGTCTGTTAAAGCGTAACTGGGTGAGACTAAGTGATGGGACACTGTAGTGGGGACAGTAAAGGCTGTGGAATGTCCTTTGGAAGTGCACATGGACAGATTGTGCTTCTGCGTGTGCTGCATGCCCAGTGTTGGCTGTGAGACATCATCGGGGTGGGTGGTTAGCATTCCAGCAGATTGCAGTTAACTCGCAGGTCAGCCATGTGCTGCGTGCTCAGTGTTGGCCATGAGACATCATTAGGGGTGTGGTGTTTCGCATTCCAGCGGACTGTACAGTTAACTTGCAGGTCAACCTGAGTCAGTCTTTGAGCAAATCAAGCAGATCACTTTCATTACTGTAGCTGATTGGACTGGCTTTGTCAGGGAACTTCCTAAAAGACAGCTTAGCAGAAATGTGGCAGTTATGGGAAAGGAGGTTATTTTGCAACACGCTGGTGAATGACTGTTGTTTATCAGTCTGTTTGGTGGGTAAGGTAAGCTAGGTGTTGGGCAAGGGGAGGGGCATCCTTTACTGTCCACAGTTGCAGTTTCAGTAGGACTCTAGCAAATGGATGACAGAAGAGAACTCAGGATCTGGTACCCTACATCAGGGCTAGGTCGGAATTAAAAGTCAGAACAATTTTAGTCCTAGAGGGGAAATGAAGATCATTGACTAGAAAACCATGCAAATAGAGATCTCATTTTTACTATATTTGAAACAGGATTCTTGATATTTTTTGATTGTTTACTGTTATGTCTTTTTTGCAACCTTTCCCACCTTAATAATTATTAATTTCATATTATCAATTAACAGTGATTATTTTATATTAATAATTATTCAATTATTCAGTCCAAACTCCTGTGAGCAGTTAATTCCTTTTTCTTCAATCAACATTCAGTTCTTTAGGGCCCGGCGCGGTGGCGCAAGTGGTTAAAGGTCCTCGCCTTGCATGCCCAGGATCCCATATGGGCGCCGGTTCTATCCTGGCAGCCCCGCTTCCCTTCCAGCTCCCTGCCTGTGACCTGGGAAAGCAGTCGAGGACGGCCCAAGGCTTTGGGAACCTGCACCCACGTGGGAGACCCGGAAGAGGCTCCTGGCTTCGGATTGGCATAGTATCGGCCCGTTGCGGCTCACTTGGGGAGTGAATCATCGGACGGAAGATCTTCCTCTCTGTCTCTCCTCTCTGTATATCCGCCTTTCCAATCAAAAAATAATAAAAATAAATCTTTAAAAAAAAACCATTCAGTTCTTTAGAAGTTCTCTTAACTTCTCTAAAGCATGCCCTGAATTTGACACTGTTTAGCACATCCGTTGCTACCATCCTGACCTAAGTCCCCATTATCTCCCACCTAGAATATCTGAATGACTTACAAACTGGTCACACATCTTGGTTGTTTGACTCCTTTAGTATTTTCTCAGCACCGCAGCAACCACAACTGTGATTTTGTGAAAACATGATTTAATACCTCCAATAGCTTCCTGTCTCACAGAAACAACAGAAATCCTTGCACTAACATAGAAGATCCTACCTGGTCCTCCTCCTCCTCTACCTTACTTGTCTGACCTTGCCTACTATTATTTTCTTCATTGGTAATTCCATTCTGACAGTACTGGCTTTGTTGCTCTTCTCCAAATAAGCTGTGCACACTGCTACCTGGAATGCTTGCCTGCCCCTAATTACTATGCCTGATTCTCCTAACATTCAGGTGGTTTTCTGTTTTGTTTGTTTTTTTGGATTTCAAAGAGAGAGAGCAGGAAGGGAGAGATAGACCCACTGGTTCACTCTCCGACTCACTGTAGTGGCTGGACTGGGCCAGCCCAAAGTCAGGAAGCAGGAGCTTATTCCAGGTTTCTCATGTGAATGGCAGTGGTCCAAGGACATTGGCAATCGCCTGCTATTTTCCTAGGCTATTACCAAGGGGATGAATCGGAAGTGCAACAGCCAGGCCATGAGCCAGTGTCCATAGGGGATGTTGGTATTATAGGGAAACGCTTAGCATGTTACACTACAGAGCCAGCCCCTACACACAGTTCTTAGAATCATGTCTTAGTGCTGAAATTCACCTGACATAAATGCCATAGTTTTCTTTCGTTGTGTTCAGATACTGAGAGTAGGAAAAGATAAGTAGAACAGTGACAGATCTTACCATTAGGATCATCTTGATTGTTCCTTTCTTAATGTCTGCCTCTAATAAAGTATGGCTACTGTAGCAAAATGATTCCAGTTGTGTCCAAGTATTACAGGTGTCACATTTGGGAAATCCATCTAAGACAAGAAATAGGTGGAACCACAGACATCAGAGAGGCAGCAAGTACAGCGTATACACAGATTGTGAGCCTAACCTAGGCATGACTTGAATGCCCTGACAGAAGCAAGGGCAGAAACACCAGGAGAACTTGTAGAAGTAGAGAGAGGTAAAGGATTAGGTTTCAGTGTCCTCTTCCCATAAGCTCTTTTCCTACCATCAATTTCTCCTTGTTGTAAAAAAACAGAACTGGTTTGTAGATTACCTGCTGTACCAGGAATTGATCTAGATATCAGGGATAAATAACTCACATTCAAGTTGGAACCTTAAACTCCTATATTAGAAAAGGAAGCAGGAACAAGCTTTGTATGAGGGAGAGTGATGTGAGAACTTTCCCTATGTGAATTTTTTATGTTGTCTGAATGAATAACTTAAAATGCATTTAGCTAATCCTCAAGTTTTCTGCAAAATGTTTCACTGTAAAAATTCACATTAGATATTATTTTGCACATTGACACAGATTTGTGCGATACATATGCAGCCTGATATGTATGACTTATCCATCACACTTCTTACTGGTATATTGGCCATTAATATCTAGATTTATTTGACAAGCAGCAGACACAGTTTCTTCTTTGGAGGCCTATAAAATCTGTTTCATTTACAGTTCATTAACCTTTACTATGTATGATTATGATATGTTGTATATTATTCTATGTTTTTATTCTCATTACATCTGTAGAGAATATATCTAATTTTATTTGTGGTTTTCTCTTCCAGGGAGTTTTCCCTAAAGAGATCTGTAGATCAAGTGTCAGACATTACTCATGTGTGGGAGGTAAGTTCTTAGAATATTTGGATTCTGGAGGAGGAGGAAAGATTCACTTCCCTCAAGTTGTTTTTATCAAAAGAGAGAAAAAGAATTGTTTTAAGTACTTTTCATTTTTCTCTTTTGTAACTCTGTGTTTGAGTCTCTGTCATACCAGTGCTGCTAAAATATTTCAGAACACTCCTTATGATATTAACTTTGTGTGTATTTTAAAAAGTTCTGCTTATTTGTTTGAAAGGCAAAATGACAAACAGACAGACGGAGGGGTGGGAGATTGTTGCATCTATTGGTTAATTCCACCAAATGCTTGTAGCAGCCAGGATTGGGCCAAGCTGAAGACAGGAGCTCGTGATACCATACTTGAGCCATTGTTGCTGCCTCCCACCTGCAGGAGGTTAGATCAGAAGTGGAGAAGCAGGACTTGTACAGGTACTCTGATATGGGTAGCAGATGTCACAAATGGCAATGTGTAACTCATTCTACCACAGTGCCTGCCCCAGGTTATTTTTACCTTTTAGTTGCAATAGCCAGTTTTTATATATTTCTCTCTTTAAAAATTTTATTTATGTGAGAGAGGAAATAAAATGCTTCTGCTGGAATGCTTCCAACCCCCCATCCCCGCCATTGCCCTGGGAGCCAGGATTGTAATCATTATTTGAGTCATTACTGCTGCTCCCAGGTCTACCTTATTGAAAACTGAGATTGGAATCTGCAGCTGAGAATGAAATCCAGGGACTTCATTGTAGGCTGCAGATTTCTTGACCAATAGGCTAAACTCCCACTTCTGTATTGGGTATTTTTTTTTTTTTAGTCATTGGAAAAAAGTATAAATTTTGCTGTTCTAACTGATCAGTTACCATTTTAATTATCACCTCTTAGGTGAAGTTATTTTTGTAGACAAGTTTATTTTATAATATACTACTGTCCCTTTATCAGTAAATGTCTGAAACCTTGAATATACATATGTGTACATGATAAAATATTTACCTTTTTACTTATTGGAATCACTTTCTTGTTTGTTTTGGCAAACCTGAGTTTCTGAGTTCTAAAACCTGAGTTTCCTGAGTTTTACTTCTTTTGCACTTTGGGGTCATCAGTAAGTAAAGTAAGGGTTATTTATTTATGCAAACTCTGTCATACCCAAAAGTTGGGCTGAGAACAAAAATGACCTGAGTACCTAACTGGCAGATAGTAAATACAGCACATGTACATCTGACAGAGGGATCATTCATACTCATTGTGGACAGGGTAGAACAGTGTGAGATTTCATCATACTACTCAGAAAAAACATGATTTATAACATGAGTTGTTTAATTTTGGAATTTTCCAATTAATATTTTCAGACCATGATTGACTATGGATAAATGAAACGATGGAAAATGAAACCACAGAAGAGAACTGTATACCTCTAATTTATATCTCATTGTGGTGTTGGAAATGACTGGTGTCCTCTCTGACACCTTGAACACATGAAATGGTCCACAGCAGCCACTCAGATATTGATATCTGTTCAGACCTCAGACTCATTCCCAGGTAGTACATGTCAGGATCCCCAGATTGGATAGTGCACTAGGAGAATATATAGGGCTTACGTATAGTTGTATTCATGCCTGTAGCTAACCACAGCAAAAAGATTACAAATTTGGCTAAGGTTTGAAAAGATACTTAAAGTGAGGCTGGAGAAAACCTGACACAAGTTAAGAATCCTCTCACCATGGGAAGGGACACTCAGTTCTGCCAGCACCAAGTCGTAACAACACATGAAATGTGGTGTGCCAGGAGGCTTACCTGAGCCTAGGAGAACACGATTTATATTTCAGACTGCCTGTAGGCAGCTGGTGCCTATGTGACTGACTGTAGTCCTTGTAATGCCAGATTCTCAGAAAAAAGGCCAGTTTTCAGTATAAACCATGCTGTTTGTGCAAACAGGGCTCAAGGAGCCTTTCTTAGTCATTTAGGGAGCATTCTCTGTCAGTGTAGGGAACTGTCTACCAGTCAAGTTCTCAGGTAGGTGGCAGCCCTGGGCCTGGGTTGTTAATAAACTTTCCAAGACTATCAGTCACTGCTCTGCTATATGAAAGATTAAAAAGTAAAAACTTTAATAAAAATGGAGTGTTTTTTAGATGTAGTATAGGTGTTTCGTTCTGCTGTAAATATAATGCATTCTCTTGAGTGTTGATGAAAGTAGGACAGACCTGTTCTAGTCATTTCAGTAGAACATGGGAAAATGTGAATTATTCATGTCGCAGTGATGATAATCAATGTTGCTGAAGAACCTACGTGTTTTCTGCCTTTTGTGATTCTGCCTTGATGGCTTGGCTGGGGGTTGTATGAACTCCAGGCCTGATAGTCTGCGTGACACCCGGCAGGACACGTGGCAGGTCAGGTAGGCAGACCACTCCTCAGGAAGGAGGTACCTGGTGTTTGATAAGATTCACTGCCCTATAGCTCATCGATTTGTACTTTTTGAAAGTTGCTTGCTTCAAACCCACCAATAGAAGCCTGCTAAATCATGACTGTATAATTAATAGCCTGAAATGTATAAGAACTGGGGGGCTCTGGCTCTCTGGCTCTCTCGCTCGCTAGCTCTCTCTCCTTCCCTTTTGCCTAGGCTGCGGCTGCCCTTCCCCCTTCCCCTCCCCCGCCCAGCCTGGCTGGGCTGGGGGAGGTGGCTGGGAGACCTAGGCTAACCTGAATAAACCACCTTTTGCCTTAGCACCGACTTCAGACTTGATGATTTTTTGGGGATATCAAAATCCGACACAACATTACTGCCTCAGTTACTGGGGATGACGTACAGGGCCTTGAACGAGCAGTGCTGAGGACGTGGTGAGCTGCTGTGAGCTGTAGATCTTAGATGGAATCCTGGAGTATTTGGTTGCCGCTGTATGCAACTAGGTCCTGGAGCATTGCCTCTAACCTGCTATGCAACCCTTATCCATGGGCTGAATGATCAATTACAGATGTGTGTGTGTGTGTGTGTGTGTGTGTGTGTGTGTGAGAGAGAGAGAGAGAGAGAGAGAGAGAGCGCTTGTTCTCTAGAAAGGAATGATGCGTGATACAAAAATGCTAGGTAGCTGCCTGCTCAGCAAAACTTCATGGGTGGAGGGTCATGCATGACTTACGGCTGAGTGTAATGGCAGGTGCTCTGCAGGCTCTGATGTGCCCTTGTACTGCTTAGTCAAAGTAGCTGATTTTATGATTATGACAAGATCTGTTCCCATACTTACATTATAAAGTGCTGTAACTGAAGGATTTGTCATTCTAGAGGGAATCAGAGTATATGGATGAGTGGGAAAATAATTTAGAACAGAGTCAGTAACTCTTTGGAGAGATAGGGAATATATGGCAATCTTGAAATAGGAAGCTTTTATGAGGTACCACTTGAACACACTAGATATGAAATTTATATATGAAATTTGCTATTGTTGAGATCAGGGGTGAGTTTCATAATTGAATATGAGAAGGAATTTAGCTAAAGAACAAAGTAGTGAGCTAGATGATTAGGTGACAGGGTATTCCAACAAATGACTAGAAAAAATAAGAAATAATACATAAAACCAGTAAGAGCTATAGGGATGAAAAGAAGAAATCAATATTATTGAGTCACTAAATGAAGAAAAATTTGTGAGACAATAATTACTGAAGAATTACAGATTTAAATATATAAGACTTGGTTTGGAGGGCTCATCATGGACCAGACAATAGAAACCCACCACCTAGACATACTGAATTAACATTTAAGAGAATGAAGAGTAAAAAGGCAAATATTCAGAGCTTCCAGAAGATAGGAGCTGATCGCCTACAAATCGACACTGGTAAGATTAGGTTTTCTGAGTAGTGATACCCTGTGGGAAAACAAAAGAATAAAGTAGATCTTTTTTTTTTTTAGGGATTTGTTTATTTTTAATTGGAAAGTCAGATATACAGAGAGGAGAAGAAGCAGAGAGGAAGATCTTGTGTCTGCTGACTCATTCCTCAAGTGACCGCTACAGCTGGAGCTGCAGCAGTCAGAAGCCAGGAGCCAGGAACTTCTTCCTGGTCTCCCACACAGGTGCAGTGTCCCAAGGCTTTGGGCTATCCTCTGCTCTGCTGCTTTCCCAGGCCACAGGCAGGGAGCTGGATGGGAAGCAGGGCTACCAGGACGCAAAACGTCACCCATATGCGATCCTGGCTCTTGCAAGACAAGGACTTTAGCTCTTAGGCTACCGTGCCAGGCCTGAAGTAGGTCTTTTAAAGCATTGAGGAAGATAAACACCTAAATAGAATTTAAAAATTAATCATTTAAATTTAAAGGCAGAGTCACAGATATATAAGGTAATAGTGAATCATTTTAAGAACAAACATGAAGGAAGTACTCCAGCCAAAAGAGAAATAAATCCAGAAAGGAACAGTGAAATCTAGGAAGTGGGAGTGAATCAATACCTGTGTGATGTTCACAGCTGACTTCAAAAGCAATGACACGAAAGGACACATTCTAACAATGTGGAACTAAAACTCCAGTCTAGACCAATGGATTAGCCCAGGCATGATTTGTTAATTACCCAGATGAAATAAGCTTGCACAGGAATGCAAATTAATATGATGCTTCCTTTGCTGTGAAAAAAAAGTGTTAGTGACACAATTGATGATTTAAGTATTGGTACAACAAAAAAAAAATTTTTTTGTCACCAACTGATATCAGACTTTTTTTTTTTTAGCATGTTTTGAGTGACACTGCTCCAGATAGGGGTGGGGTGAGATGGATGTGTCTAGGACCATGAGATGTGACAGTGTGCCATACTTTATATATCTTAGCTTCCTCTTCGTCTCGCATGTGGGCGCAAGGGCCTTAAGACTTGATCCATCGGGCCCGGCGTGATGGTGCAGTGGTTAAGGTCCTCGCCTTGCACGCCCAGGATCCCATATGGGCACCCGTTCTAGTCCTGGCAGTCCCGCTTCCCATCCAGCTCCCTGCCTGTGGCCTGGGAAAGCAGTGGAGGAAGGCCCAAGGCTTTAGGGCCCTGCAC